TGCAGGACGCTGGGGCTCCTGCATGGGTAGGAGCTGCTCTCACAGACAAACCCAACACCCTGCCTGCAGCCCTGGGCCTCTGTGGGACATGAATGTTGTACCAGTGAGGGCTGGGCAAGGCTGCTGTCAGCACAGAGCTGCTGGGAGGGGGACAGACGTGTGTGACATGCACGCTTCATGCTGGTAGCCTGCAGAGGTTATTTGGAGGTCTGAGTTTGGTCACCGGCAGACATAGGGCACTTCTGCCTGGGATGTGCTGCACCCCAGACCCAGCGCCACCCCAGATGATCCTGTTCCCCACTACCTCATGGCAGTGATGAGCAAGGTGAGGAGCTGGGCTCATCCCTTTGGTGGGAGTGTGAACCAGCCTGGAGGACACTGTGGTCCTAGCCCAGGCTCCAATTTTCCTGTGCCCGTGATGCGCATAGAACTATGCCTCTTCTGCAGCCCTGGGAAGCCAGGGGCAGGGATGGGGAGTGGTGCTGTGACGCGTCCCCTCTGCTCTCTCTGTTGCTGATGCCCTTAAGGATGCTCCACTGGAAGGATCAGCTGAACAGATGTGGAAGTGGGGTGGCCTGGGGCTGCTGGCCAGACCCTCTTGCTCCATCATGTGCAGGAGGAGCAGGACAGCCTCACCATCCTGCACAGCAGCAGGACTTCACAGAGGCTCTGGTACCCAAAACCAGTACGAAAACCTGATGGAGTGTGGCTACTGAGTACAAAAACCTGATGGAGACACCTCTGGCCAGCTGCACTTTGCCTGCAGCTCCTGCAAAGAAAATGGTCCACTGGGGCCACTAGATAGCAGCATCCCAAGCCCACGGGTGCTACTGGCTCCCCAGCCTGCATCCCTCTTGCCCAAGTTGCTTGGTCCTGCTGAGGCCAGCACAGCTCTGCAGCCAGAGCTGGACTTCTGGCCGGGCTGTTCCAGCCTGGCCTCTCTGTGTATCCCTAGGAGTGACCCATGCCCTGTGCCCACCGAAAAGCTGGTGAGGGGACATCCCTGAGAGAGTTGTGTGTGCAGGGGCATCCCAAGGCACTGCCTTACCTGAGAAGGTCCTCGGGAGCCAGAGGGGGTGCAAGCAGAGCCGTGCTGGACCCCTCCCCGGCATACAGCTGGGGGGGAACCGGGGGGGCCCTGCAAATCCTTGCTCCTGAAATCAGGGTGTTGTATTTACTTTCCCCTTTTGGCAGCTAGAAGGGGAAGCCCATCCCAGCCCCTCATTGTTGTCTCAGCGAGTTAATCAGATGCCATAATCCTGTTGTGGAAATATCGGGCCTCCCTGGAAACAATGGGGAGCGAGAATATTGTGGTTAAATTTCAACCAGCTGCCTCCCTGCTCTG